CGGAGGAGCCGAGTCCCGCAGCCAGCAGCGGAGGAAAAGCGGGGGCCCCCTCCGCGGGAGGCGGGGGGTGCCGCTCCCTGCGCCCGCGCGTCTCTCGCCGCCACGCAGATGTAACCTGTCTGAGCCGGGCCCCTTTCAGCGCAAGGCGGTGGCTCTCTGCAGTGATGCAAACTTTAGGATGCGGGCTGTGTAGTTTGCTGTTCCTGCGGGCCTTTGCGAGAGGGATGAGCGAGTGACGGGAGCGTGTTTTCTGTTGCCAGAGCTTGGATGCTGCAGCTCCACAACCGACTCTGTTTCTAATATCTTTGTGGTCCGATTGTCTAACTCCTTCAAAACAAAAGGGGGGATGTTAAAATGAGTTGGCAAAACCTGCCCCACCCAGAAAGCACATAGAAATAAGAAAAAGATTGTGGGGTCACATACCTGTGAAGAAGCAGTGAATTTAATATACAGTGTTAACAGTGCCAGTCCTGTGATAAGGCTGTCGCTTTCAGATCGTGTCTTGCTGTGCTCCTGTTGTATGCTGCTTGTGTCTCGCTGGTATTTTAGGGAAAGAGGCTGTATGTGTTTTGAAGAGAATTATGTAGCACAGTCTTGCAAGGAAGTGCCCACCTGGGACCTGCCTGAGATGGGGTCTCAGCCCTCTGTGGATGTGGTACATGCATGGTGCTGATGTGGGTATGTTTTGTAGTTTACTTCTCATTCCTCCTCACCTAACTGAAACTTGTCTGTGTGGAAACTCCTTTTTTTGCAGAGGAGGAGTCAGTCCTGGAGAGGAGAGACTTGGGAGTGATGCATGTCTGTTAGGTCTTTGGTTTGGTGGCAGTTTTCTTTTCCCCTCTGTTTCTATGAGACCTTATGGAAATTTTGCATTGTTAGATGAGCAGCTAGTGCAGGCTTTCCCTTTCATACAGAAAATAATAATAAAAATTATTTAATCTGTTTTTCTTGATTTGCTGTTATTGGCATGGGTATATCTGAGCAGATGAGGATGCTGTGGTTTTCTTGGTGACAGGTTTCTGTGTGTTCAGGCTGCTCAGCCTTCTGATTTAGTTCTGTCTGTTGGCAGTGCTGGCTTTGAACAGTGAGGAAATGATAGAGGGTGGTTTGGAAGCAGTACAGTGGATCAAAGTCTGGTGCATACATTGTTGTCAGACTTGTGGTTTGGGTGGGGGGGGTGGTGTTCCTCTTCCTGTCCCAATTACCAAGAAATGCCAGGTGGGGAGAAAGTTTACTAGCATGGTGCTGATAAGTTGTGGCATGAAGAAAGTGAGTGTCGGTGGGCATGCAAATGCTGATTGTTTGTGTGAGCCAGAGGAAATCCAGGCAGAAATCCAGGCAGTCAGGAGTCTGCTGCTGCTCCTGTGGCTGGAGTATGTTCACATGAACAATGAGGCTGAGTAATACTGGCATCCATGTCAGGCGTACGGGCTGAGCAGTCTCTTATGTGGGACCCATATGCTCTGGAGACAGTGGGGAATGGGCAGAAACTACTGAGGAAAAGAAGTAGTGGTTGATAACTGAAGTGCTTGAGCATTATATTGTGGGACAAGTATAGAGAACTTGCTTGGTAGCTCAGCTGCAGAAATTAAAAGCTGTATAAGTTTGTCACAGGATGTCAGTGTAGCCAAGAGCAGTGCTGAGGTAGATGAGATTTGGATTGCTTTTCAGTGAGAACCTACTAAGAAATATTAATGACCTGCAGAAGTAGTAATTAGTCTTAAATCTTTTGCCTTAAAGGAGTAAGGGAGTTGGAGGTCTTCAGTCATATCCCCTGTCAGCATGAGCTTCTGAAACTGGTGTTCTCTGGAAAGTTTTAAGAGGTAGATGATGTACAGAGATGATTCTTATTAATCGTAATGTCTACTCTGGATGAGATAGTACATACTGATGAACTGGCTGTTTTGTGAAACTTATAGATGTAGTTTTTTCTTTCATTAATGTGCATTTGAAATCAAACTTAAGCCGGTGATGCTGGAAGCAAATCCAGTACGTGTCTGTGTGAGGACAATTCAGAGGCAATATATAATAGTAGTCTTATATAAACATTTGATGGAGTTTAATGGGGTAGCTTGAGCAATAAATAAGGTGAAGGCTTTTTTGTCTGTTTGTTTTTGGCTTTAAAACAAACAGTCCTTAGTGCTCAGGAATCTTTCTTCTAGATACAGAGGTTCTAGACAAAAAAACCCTTTTGTGTCTTCCTCCCCAACCCCAACAAGAAACCATAAAGCATGACTGCATTGACTGTAGGAATCAACAGTGGAAGTCTTTAAACTATGCTTTCCTGATTATAAGTGATGTACAACTGATGTACTCAGAGTTCAGAATATTGTCAACCTGCAGTCTTCTGTTGTGCTCTGTTTGCATTAACTTGGTAAGGGCTTTCTCTGATTTCTAAATCAGAGTCAGGTGAGATGGGATTTCTTAAATTTGTAGGACTGCATACTTTTCTAGTACTATCTGTACAACATAACACTATAAACCAAACTACCTATTTTTTGAAGAGGGGTGGGGGAAAGAGACAGAAAAGGAAGGTTCCCTGTCTTGCTCTTGAGAAGTGTTTCTTTGCTGTAGACTGCTAGTGATCTACAAATCTGCACTGACCCTTAGACACCATAACATAGGCTGTGAGATGAGAGTAAGCTTCTTAATTTTAATTTGCTTGTTTTATTTAACTACAGAAGAGCAATGCTTGTTTCTAATGGTCTGTCTAACTTTTTTCACTTATGACTGTGGTGACACTGCGCAAGATACCTGAATGCTTCTAAAATGGATAAAATTTGAGGATTTGGTTGGAAAACCTTTCTGTCTTTAAAAGGGAGACATGCTTCCCTCTAGCTTATGTTAGAACCTTCACAATTTCACCCTTTTGGCTGGATCCTCAGGGTGCAGAATAAACTTTGTCTCTGAGTTACTGGCATGTCTCTCAGAAATCATAGCCTTTGCTGCATTTGAGCAAGTCATGCTATTTCCCTTAAACCTTGCCATGCCACTTGGAAGGAGTGCTCTGAGGCCTCTACCAGAAGCAGTGCTGTTCTGTAGTAAGGGCTTTGTCTCTTTCCTCTCTCTCCCCAGCAGAGAGAGCTGGTCCTTGGCTGGCCCTGCAGTATCCTTAGTTAAAGTTACTGGCCCCACAGCCTGCTGTTGGATGTGCAAAAGAAAAAATGAGGGTGACTGTCTTGCCTGATTGCATACAAGAGGCAGGAAGTGTACCTGGAAATGTCACCTCAAGACAATCGCAATTCCTCTTGTTTTCTCGTGTTCAAGGTGGGTGTATGCAAGTGAAAGACCTGGGTTTGCTGTTGCTTGGCCTTTGAGGTCCTGTTTTCTTAACTTTAACATTGCAACGATTCTTTGTTAATGTTGTAGGACATGTATTTCTGGTAATTGTGAATACTGTAGGGCATCTGGCATTAATAAGAGCTAAAATTACCACTGTGATTAGCAGATCTAATTGAGCTTGGATGAGGTCTTCTCATTGGCTATTTAACTGAATTACACAAAGATATTTTTGTGATTGTTTCCTGTATTATCCCTATATTTCCTGCTTCCAAAACAGTCTGCTGTAACACAGTAGCTGCCAGGTTCTGCTGCAGAATCTGGCTGATGACATCATAAATGATTAGGTAAGAACTTGCAAGTAGTTGAACTTTAACTTCACCTTTTCTCTTCAGGTGACTGACAACAAAACGTGTGGGATCATCTTTCATGACCTTGTCTTTATCCACTGACTAACCCCAAATGTTATTGGGGGTATGTGCTGACTTGTTTTTTAAGAAATGAGCTAAAAATGCTAGAGAAGGCTTTTACCCTTCCTCAAAAAATGCCCCGAGTGCTTTAGCTTCTTAAGTGCTGGTGGTCATGAGAGAAGTCCTCTTAACTATGAGAGAATCTTCTTGTACAACTGGTTATAAAGAATATCCATTTTTCTCATAATTTCACATCATTAAATACTAGTGATATTTCTTCACTGAAGATGGACATTGACATGCATGTGAATCTTCTGCAGTAGCAGTAAGCAAGCTTCCATTGGTGTGTGTAGGTTTGGGTGTCAGTGCTTTTAGAGGAGCAGGAACAACTATTAATTTAGATCTGAAATTCTGATTTAAAAGGTCACATATGGTGTGATCTACTTAGAGTCCATCAACACTCAAAATGTCATCTTTCTGCTGGAGCACTTCTGAAGACAGTCTGTCATTAGTTCCCTGCAGCTGGCAATCCCTTTTAGGAATACTTTCTTCAAAGTAAGGCGTAGTGTCATACTTAGCAATGCTAGAGGTGACTCCAGTGTAAATGCTTATGTAAAGCAAGATTACTAAGAGATGTTCACACAGTCAGAAATGTCCACATTGCAATATAAATATCTTGTATATCAAAACAATTGAAGCACAAGGTAGATGTTTGTATTTGTCATTGAAGACTATTTGCCAGGGCCATATGGAATGGCTAAATTAAGGTTCCCTTGAAGTTTTGCAAGGGTATTAAACAACAAAAAAAAAAGCTTAAAATTGTGTCCCTGTGAATGTATACAATAAACTATCTTACTACTGGTTTTTTTTTTCTTGTTTGACTGTTTTATTTTTTTCCCTCCACTGTGATAACTTTGTGGCACTGTCGCATATATGTGGGAAAATAGGTGGTTTATAAGTTCTTACTTTCTGGTTTAGTGGCTAATTTACAATGGAGTAATCATTTTAATGGAAATGTTATGTGGAAGCTGAAAGGCGATTCATTTACCAGTAATTAATTCTAGTCTGGTTAGCTCACCTTCGTCCCCCTCGGAATTTTGTAAAGCTAGCTTTGTTACAGTTTTACTTTCTGGCATGTCTTTTCCCATCCTGAGTACTTTTCAAAGAACTACCAGTTTTAACAAAACATTTCTGCAGAAAAGCCAGTCACATCTCCGACAAAGAGTTGTACGTGATTATGCTGTAATTCTCCTGCAGGAAGCTTAAAGCAAATATTATGGTGTCTTGTAGTCAAGACAAATTATTTGTTTTTTTCATCTAAACACCTTTTTTTGGGGGGGAAATGAATATGTATTTCAAAGAATGAGACAGCAAACAAGGCTGGAGGAGCATTTGGATGATTGCCAGTGCTTGTGCTCACCTGTATTTCCAAAGCCACTTTTTTTCTGGAAGGCTCTGAGTTATGTCACCTTTATGCTCACAGTATATCATTGAGCACTCAAGCACTTATATAAAATTTCTTAAACGAGACAGAAGGTGAACTTGGCAGCTGAACATCTGGTCCTGTTCAGTTGTCGGTTTCTAACATATGCTGGGAGGTGAAGGAGCTTTTGGAGAACAAAGAAGGGAAAATAGCCGTTTCTGAACAACAGCAAGTAATACAACAGCAGTAGTTGAAGCTTTAGTAAGTCTGTAACCCCTCTGGTTAGTAGGACCTAAAGCAGGCATCCACTTTCTCCTCAAAGATTATTTGTAGGGGAAGACATGATAGAAAAATCTGGTAATAAGCCTTTTTGAATGCTTGCTTTTAACAATTCAAAACTTAGCAGTTTTCAGTAAGAGATAGGAAGATCAAACTTACATTGAAATAGTTACAGTTTGATCCTGGATGTTTAAAATAGTTAAGAAATGGTCAGACTTGAACTGGGAAGAACAGACCCTATAGGTATCAGTTTCAATGGGTATATTTACATTCCTTTTGTTTGGATT